GCGTTTATTACTAAATCGCCTAGCTGTTCAACCAAGCCTTTGTATTAACCTCTCACGACCATTCTTAGTACCAATTAATATGTTCTACAATCTTAGTTTAATACTGTTTACACATAAAGTTTAAACAATAGTATATGGTATTTAAAGAAATCTAGTAAATTCAAAATGTTACAAAAATAATGTACCTGAACAGCTTAGTCTAATGTTTAGTTTAAAGTATTGCTGCACCTGACAATATCATCTAATGTGTCATTATATCTCTACCCATGATCCCTATTTTTTACCAGTATGAGGTACCCATCAAAGTGTCTGCTTAAATAGAAAAAACATGGTACCTTCATACCTGTATGAAAGTGATAATATAAAATTATTTTTTGAATGTTTTCATACAATTTGCATATTAAACACAATCCTATTGAAGTATCTGCAAACACCACTGAGAAAACACATGAATAATTGAAGACAACGATGTTAATATAGTAAACATAAACCATGTATATGTAGAGTGATAGTATCTGTTTGGCCTCAGAAGAAATGAGCAAGAAACTTCTGATTTTATTTAATAAATCCGACACATTAAAATATATACTTAAACTTTAAACCAGAAATTAAGTAGGATATCGGGCTTCATTTAAAACGGAATTTTGTATACTTACAGATAAATTTAAGCTTAAAAATTTCCAAAGTCTGTATTTTGCATCTGACAATTGGTTTAGAGGTACTAACGATTAAATTGAATGGACCCATAGGATTTTGAAATTGAAATTACACTGAGTCATCAATATCTTGTGTGTCCGCCGTTTGCTGTGGTCACGGCCCTTATACTTCTGGTCATAGAGATCATGAGAGCGTTAATCCGTCTTATTGGGATGTTGTCCCACTCTTCAATCAGAGCTCTGGTCAACTGCTCTCGAGTAGGAGGGAGTGGCTGGCGCTTTCGAATCTGTCTATACAACTGGTCCCAAAGATGTTCGATCGGGGACAAATCAGGGCTATATGACGGCCAGTCTAGTGGTTGAGTGTTGTTTTTGGTCAGAAAGACTTGGCAGATCCTTGCAACGTGGGGCCTAGCATTATCCTGCTGGAGTGTTAGATTATGCTGCTGTAAGAAAGAGATAACATGGGGTCGGAGGATCTCATCTCTATACTTAGCTGTTAAATTGCCATCATTAACAACCAATTGTGATTTAAACCCGTGTGAGATTCCTCCCCACACCATTACTGAACCGCCCCCAAACCTATTCCTCTCTACAACGCAAGCGTCCGTAAAACGTTTGCCACGACGTCGGTAGCCACATTGACGACCGTCAGATCGATAAAGACAGAATCGAGACTCGTCCATGAAGAAAACTTGTCTCCACTGCCTCAGTGGAAACTGTCGTGGAGCATGTGCAGCGACCCAGGCCATACGACGCTGACGTCGAGCAGGGGTAAGGTGTGGATCTACGTAGGGGCGACGTGCTCTTACACAAACTTTTCGTAATCGATTCCTTACAGTTATTTAACTAAAAGGGCGCCCATGATTTCCACGAACATTAAGTGCACTCTCAACGGCAGCAAGGCGCCGATTACGCACATAAGAGACGACGATATAGCGATCCCGACGTTGTGACGTAACGCGTGGACGTCCTGACCTCGGTCGATCGGCCAATCGCCCAGTTTCCGAAGTCGTCTTACAAGACGTTCTATGGTGGAAACATCAACACCAAAGTGCCTAGCAACCTGATTTTGCAGCTGTCCTGCGTCAGCATCTGAATGGCCTAACCTCTCTGAACTTCTGTGAGTCGTCCCATTCTTAAAACGAATCAAATTCTCAATTAATTTTAGGGAAGCAGTTGGTCTGTATAAAGACTAACGACGAGTGACTTGACCAACGCTGCATGAGACCAGAACAACACGGTGCACGAGATTCTTGTTTTTTCCTTCCTCCATTTATCAGAGCTGCGCACTGTACCCTGACTAAATTTTCGAGGTGTAATATAACCTAATTACGCAATCCACAAAGTTTCACTTTATTTGGAGAACGCGTTTTCAAAATATCGGAATAAATATTACCCTGCGTTTCTTTATCCGTTCGGTATACTATTATGAATTAATCAAATTAAATATGTCGATGTTTTACAAATAATTCATTCTTATATATACAACAGTACGTCACAATGTTAACCCCAAGCTCAGGAATTCCAGTCAACTACGATCTAACCAAAATAGAAATCCTAGTTATCGGTCCGAACTTAGGATCTGATTCTTAATTAGACTAAGTGTGTACCCAAGTGTACAACTAACCAGTGTACACAAGTCACTTGTGTACTGCAGTGCCATTGACCATGATAATAAGTTCTGTAGCCAACTGTTAATTTTGTCATTGGATAATGATACCAAACTATGTACTTCATCACTATCTGAACAAAGGTTGTGTCATATAAGCAAGCACATGCATAACTAAAAACTAAAGTATATTTACCTACCCCACACAGCAGTTTGTTTTATACAGAATCTCAGTCGTGACTTGATGAATCAGGCTTTTATACAGTCGTTTAAAACGTAATATGATACTGGACATATCATACCAAGATATGTTCGAATATGGAAGAAGCATATTGACCCAACTTCAAAGTGAATGCGTATTCAATGTCTCGTTTTCAGTTTCATACAACATTTAACACACAAATTCATTCATTTCTGTCTAAAGCCCTACATTGCTCTACCATGCATTTAGCATTAGTGATGTTGCCCATTTCAAGATTGAAAAACAAATAAAAATACACATTCGGGTAAAGCAATATCGGGGTCCTACACTGGTGAATTGAATTGTATCGAGCTTGTAGTGAAATAACACAATTTAATAATGATTGATTGTCTGGAGCGTACTTTGTAAGAAACTAAGATCTAAACTGAATATGAGATATTCGTATCATAACAAAAAGATATATGATACTAGTGTTCTGCATTTATCATTTCATTTTTAAGACCACTAGATGTATTCTAAAACATAAGTCACATCATGCATGACGAACATACACTCTGAAATATTGATATTTAAATAAGTGATAAGAATAGTACAATATCCGTTATATATAACATCATCTGATTACAACCGTAGACTTTCCAGATATATGCTTTGATGAAGACTTAGATTGGACCGCCTTTTACAAGCATGTACAGGGAGCATAACGTTCAAGGTATTGATTGTCGAACCTGGAATGATGAAAAGAAACTCTGAACTAACTGATATTATTATTGTGACGAATGAATCACCTTGCCAAAAGTTCGACTCTACCATGCAAATTAAATGGTCACCAAACCAAGGATGTAACCTATTTGTACTCGTAAATAGCTTGTATTTTTGACATCGATTTTGATGATGATAAAAGCTCTAAAAATATAAACAGTTCATGGAATCCTCTGATAATAGATTTAAAATGACTTAATTGAATTAGGCATGATTTACAAGACCAAAATACAATTAAAAAACAAAACAATAAACGATTGACGTACGTAACCACAGTCTTTATCGGGTGAGTAGTTGCAAAGGATGTGCCTTCCTTTGTTCAGTCATAGAAGTATAAACGCATTGACCATTGACATTCATTGGTTCATTAAACTGGAGAAAAAGGAGAAAATACTACATTGTACAATTTGTATATATGATTGTATGTACAAGACCGCATGCAAGTAGGTTGATGCAGTCAAATTCTTCATTTCGATAGAGGTTCATTGTCATTTTTCTGGGTTATACATTATGTCTAACAGGTGGTTTTTAATAGGTGAATGGCGAAGTTTATTCCTGTTGCTTCAGCAATCGTTACTAGCTATGCACACTTCGTTCTGGTCTCATAACATGGTTTTAGCGTACTTTCGGCAGCTATCAGTTATGCTAGTATATTATTTCATCTACAACATCCACCTCGTACATATTGATTAATCCAAATAAGTAGGTGTGATGATTCCAAATGAGAACAAGGTTAAAAATATCACAATGACAAGGCATACTTTTGGACATCGATTTCGTGTTACACAAGGGAAGAGAAATGTGCCTTAATTAACCTGCATCTCTCGAAATCATATGTTTTTCGTTTTTCCGTCAAAAGTAGAAATCTAAAACAAGAAGTTGTCATATAAAAACCTTCAACATTTCAGCATAATCAGAACACGGTGTCAACTAGAACATTTTGAGATGGTTATATGGTTACCGTAAACGATTTCTTTGGAGGTAGTGCTCAGGAGTTTGTATCGTTGATACAATTATATTTAAAACTATATTATTATTATAGTAATGGAATCAATAGCTCAAAAAAGCATATAGTCATGAAGAATACCCTTTTTAATGATGTCTGTATACAACATAGTCATAATTAATAATTGCGGTGTCTGTCCGTCTGTCCGGTTACATGTGCAGACATAATACATGACAATACACTATAATATGAATGTGTTATAGTTCTTTATCAAGTTCGTCTGGGTCCCGAATAAGAACTAATTAACAACAAACCTGCCAGACATACTACAAAGCATCAAACAATTCACACTTCAAATTCAAAGGAGATAATATGCAATATAAATTCTATGAGAATATATCTTAGCGTATGGTGATTTTATAGAACTAATAAATAATACAACATGGTATCGTATCTATGTTGGAAAAATTAACGTTCTTATGTTAATGCTTTTCTGAAATACAAATAACGTCATTGATATTTGTTAGGAAATTACATCAATAAACAACGATAAAACAGCATAATGGTTATTTTATTATCATTACATTAAATAAGCAAAGAAAGAGCATGCATGGTATTACAAAAAAATATAACTCGGCATTTTGTAAATAAAATGGAGAAGCATAAAAATGTTTGAAACGAGTCAGTTCTTGACATTGCCATTCACAAAACTACTTCTATACATATAACAGGTAGAACAATCCTTCCTTGTAACCCTCTTAACAAAAGCGCGTCATCAGAGGTGGTGATTGACATATACAGGCAATTCTGAGAATCATGAGCTCATGAACAAATTACTCCAGTATTGATTCTTGGATCGCAAAACGCGAATTCGTGTGCACACTCCGTGAGCATTTCTTCATATCCTTGACAATGTATGCCAGTCAGCACTGATGGCAATATAGTCTTTGGGTAGTATTGGCCGCTGTAACCGATCTCAATCGCGTTCCTGTTATAATAGAAATCAAGTTTGCATATCAATAAATTCATAAACATTAAAAAGATAAGATAAGAAATGTTGAATTGGCCACAAGATACGATATTCAATGGTCATTAAAAATGACAGAAAGGGAGGTCGTAAGTTGCATTCCAGTTAGGTCTGATTCCTGAAACTGTCTTGAAGAGGTCATCTATCCACCGAGGTAAGTTTTAAAGTTCTCTGATTTTCACCAAAATTTGTACGACACTAAGGATTCTCCCGACTAAGTGCCCCAAGGAGAACAATCAACAGCAACAAAGTTCTCCCTAATCAGATTTCTATAGTGACCAATTGCTCCCTCAGTTCGATATACCAGCAAGTGGCTTGTCATATATATTATGTATCGTTATTAATATTACGAATTTTCAATGCCTGCAAAGTCACAGATATGGTCTTTTTAACCCCTTTAGTGCAGTTATTATGAACCACATGATATGTTTGACAATCCCTTCTGTATTACACTTTACCTAACTGTACTTGATTGCATGTGACGGGTGTCACGTGTGTTAACCACTTACTTCTACAAGTAGACCTCACTTTAAAATGCCTACGGTTGTTGAATGGACGGTTAACCAAAATTGATATCACAAATCATTATCTGATCTTATCACAGTATTCGATTTCCTTAGAAAGTATTCAGTATTGATATATCTGGTGGATGAACATAATTAAAATCAATCGAAACTTACGTATAACCAAGATACTTGCAGACTACAAGAGCCTCTGTTACCGTCCAGGGTTTGCGATCGTGACACAATGGCCCCCACCTACCGCCGTAGTAAATTTCTACTCTACCCGTGGAAGGGTCTGGATTGCCAGCAAGACGAACTGCAATATCGCAACAGTATGCACATTAGAAATGGTAGAGCTGTGTGAATGATTATTAGTTTTATATTCTTCTTAATAAAAATCATACAAGTAAACGTTTTCGTGGAAACATGATAGGCTGCATCTTATCTTATGAAGGAGCGTGTCTTTTAATGTTAAAACAAAAACGTTGTATCAATGCTCGATCTCATCGATATTGACATCGACGTTAGTGTAAGGCATGTGTTTGCAGATATTTGATATTTCTGAGCTTCATCATAGCCAGAAGAAGGAGGTAGAACGATTCTTTTCTGATCTTTGCTATCTATATATATATATATATATATCAACTTTAAAGTGGTCCAATAACAATGGTATCTGTTTCGTATTAGGTGATATAGAGAATAAATGGTCAGTGACTTAAAACACAGCGAATGTTTTAAGACACTGTCTATGTATTCTATTTATCCTGCAACATTGATTTCCGTCCGTCGATTCTGAATACAGCAAAATATATGAGGCAGGTGTATTCAGACAATGAAAGCGCCAGTTGCAGGTTTGAAACGTTTATCGGGAAAATTAGTCTAACAACAAATTGTGGACTTTGTTTTAATATTATGCTGGTAGTTTCATTTGAATAAGTGCTTTTGACAACTTCTTATTTGCATGCTGTTGAAACCAATTCATTAACGTATATCGGTATTATTATCAAATAATCATTTAATCTTATCTTTTGCACTTTGATTAATCTCATAACTTTTTGATCACTGCTTTCTTCAAATCAATCGTTAGCAATATGTCTTTGGCAAAAAAAGATAATATAAGACAGGAAGGAACAACGTCGGTAGAATTAGTACAATGCTAATAAGAGGTGTGTATATAATAGCCAAACAATTGTTCAGATAACAATTCAATACATAATCATAATACGACTTAAGGAAACGTTATTCCCCTTATTGAAGGCAATTAACAGATGAGAAAAACATAAGAATGAAATACAAATTACGTGAACCGCAGTGATCTCTATCAAAAGTTAAGTCTTTATCTTTAAATTTTATACAAGATCAAGAACAAATTGATTTTTATCTGATTCTTATACGTTAAAATCAAATATCAATGAAAGCACTTCATAAGAGTTAAGTTCACAACCTCTAGTACAGAAGGTTCCGGTCCAACTGTCCTGGGATAATAGTGTCCTGTTTTTTGTTTTTTTTTTTTTGTTTTTTTTTTTTTTTTTTTTGGTTTTTTTTTGTTTTTTTTTTTTTTTTTTAGTTTTGTTGTCTACATTTTCGAATTTCGACTTACTTGTTCATCAATTATTTACGTATTCACGCTTCACTTCGGAAATCAAGTACGGTAAGTGATCATGCTATTTGTTCTATGCTATTAAGTAAGCTTTTAGGCATATACGGATGCTTCAATAAAAAACAAAAAAATCATTAGACGCGCAATACACAGGGAAGTGTACGTACAAGTGTTTGGGAATATATACTCATAAAAAACTTCATTTATTTTACAGCAATCATTAAGCAAACTTTAAGCTTGTATTAATCACTCCTGTTAGGATCGCAAAAAGGGTGACCCATTATCTTTTCACGTCCGACCGTGAATCGAACGGCGAGCATCCCCCCCCCCCCCAAAAAAAAAATTAAAAAAAAAAAATAAAAATAAAAATCCGTATTTGATCAGATATATCTGATAATGTTACATTAATAATTCATTAAAGAAAAAAGTAACTAAATTCAAGAGAAGCTTTCTGAGTCGCCACATGCACATACAATTGACATGGACGAATATACTGACATCTTGCTATACCTAGCTAGACATTAATTGCCAGCTTTCTAAATAGAACGGTTCATCTAGATATTACTTACGGTAGTAGTTGACGACCAGGACATGTGCACCACTTGACAATGAAACACAAACGTGGGAACGTGGAATTATAACATCGGCACATGATCCGAGTCGATCCTGTAAAATATTGAATAAAACATGTATTCACTACAAAGTGTTTTCAGTATTGTGTAATTAAGAACTTAAGACAGAACAAGTGGCGGATATTTTGTAAAGATAAATCAATGGAAGAAGGAGGCACAGAGGGATATTAGGTCAGGCATTTCAATATTGATACTGAAAACAGTTTGTAAGACGATTTTGGCGAATCAATCTAATTATGATGTAGATTCCTATTTCATCTCTAACATAACCCCAAGAGGTCATGATCTGGTGACATTTCCACTCAAAGTACTTTAGACGAATGATCTAATTGATAATTTCGTCTGCATCTTATCATTTCGTCCCTATAGGAATGCTGATAAAGAATGCAAATATTTATTCTCGATTCTTTACCCTTCCCATAAGAGTGAGAAAAAGTTATCCTGTTTAATCAGATGGACATAAAAATGTGTTATACTTTTTGTGCACATGTTTTGGTGAAAATACTTACAACACAACTCAGATAATTGCAAGCTGTTTTGCATACGTTTATTCTCTTTCAAGATAATGCAAGCCGTAATTTGATTGGCTAATGCAAAAGTACAACGGAATAAGAATATGGGTTATTACCATATTTTACGTATGCGGAGAATAACGTACGAAGACGTTTGCAATGTCCCGGCCTAAGCCTTACCTGAACAAATGCCAAGTTGCTTCCTGTGATCCATCCTTCAGAGTCCACCGTTGTCGAGTTGGATGAGGTCAACTCACACGCAAGCATCTCTTTGTTGTAGTTCAAGAATGTACAGTCGCCGTTCCTTGCACACTTCTCGCCACACGCCGAAAAGGATATATCAAACATTATCTCAAAAATGGCAGTCTTTTTACCTGGGAAAAACCCATCCTGATTGAAACATTCTCCAAGAATCCGTTTCGGTAGTGTGACCCAAATCAGCAGTATCCTGAAATTTGTAGCAAGAATCCCTAACTCAATACAAAATGTATCACAATTTTACTGACGTACAGAGATGTACGATATATAAGTTTAAGCTTAACTTTATAATATCCGTATATAATGACAATTGTCGCTCTTCCTTTACGGGATGACTTTCAAAACATTATTAATAAACGATCGTTTTACAGATGGATATGTAAAGCTAGTAATATTCATTGGTGACTTCACAGTATTCCTGCTAAGAAAAGAGAATGCCATAATTTGTTATATATGGTAATATATATATAAAGTGCGAAATATAATATAAATACTATTTCTTTTTCAACGTAGCAACATTTTGTTATTATAATCAAACATGATCTAAACTCACCTGAATAAATCCAGAGACGTCATGCTTTTGAAGCCCGTCAATTACCACTGTCAACTGAATGTAGTTCCATCATTTCGCGTTCGTTTTATTCTACATCTCATATTAATATTTACGAGCAGAATGACATAGAACGTTTAATCATGCGGGCTGTATACAGTTTTATGACTCTAAACAAACTTACCCGTGAAAGGCCGACATGTTTCGAATCATCAACCATGTATTTTATTACCTTTCCTGATACGTATCAACAACACATATTTCATGATAAGAAAATTTACCAAACTACATATCTATAGTTTATATTCTTACTCTGTGAAGAGTTCGTTGATGCTAGCTTTTATTGTTTGTCGTCTCCATTCTTTGCTTTTAACTAGGAAAAACCTAATAAAAGGCACTTTATATGGTTTTGAGCTCAAAAGCCATTATTAAAGATCAGAACGTGTAGTATAGCTTTTGAACATTTGTGTAATGCTATATCCATGATAACAAAAATGTCCGCGAATACATCGTGCCATTCCTGCTTAGTTAAGGAAAACTTGAAAACCAAGAATACTTTCTATCTCACAAAATCCACCAAATTACTTATTCACTCCATAAAATTGACTGATGTGATACTGGTATCTATATAAAACTTTAAAACATATCAAACACTAACTTTGGTGATACACGTTTGTGTTTGTTTGCTTGGTTTATTTTCAAATGGACATTATGCACTGCGGTCTCTTTGTAGTGTCTAGAGGCTACACAACAGATAAGATATTGTGTTATTAAATGAAATGTATATGCGTTTTTGCTTTTTTTTATTTTATTATATTTTTCAGATATTTTAAAATGTAGTTAATTTCATGAAGCATTTCAGAAAAACGAACAAAAACAGAACAAATAGGTAAGTAGATCAGTGATATTGCAATATAGTATAAAACCAAATTTTTATCTAATTATCTATTCATATGTTTATATTTATTTACTTTTCTATTGATTCTAAGTATTGTTTTGTTTATTTTTGTATAAATTGACTGATTGAGCAAGGATTCATTAAGAAGTTTTGGAAATAGATGTTAATCTCTATTTGTATCAGACAACGTCATCGTATTTACCGTCTGATAGATTTATGATCGATAGAATTGATTAAGCTTGCCGTCAATATTGAACCATTCTCAGTGACAGTGCAAGTGTTTTTTTGTTTTCATTTTGTTTTGTTTTTTGTTTGATATTTTGTTTTTGTTTGTTTTTTTTTTTTTTTTTTTTTTGTTTTGCATTTTTACAAACTGACAACTATTTATTTCAGTCAACTCGACTTATAATCAATTGTCCTCAAAAGCTCTTTGCTAAATAAAAGTTGGAAACTTAGCAAAGAAACTAGTTTAAGTGGTTGTTTGTGCTTATATTATTATATTTTTTGAAACAAAGTTTTATACATTTATACTTAGTTTTATAATATATTTGTATATAAACACAGGGTAAATACATAAAATTGGATCAAAGAACGAATTGTTTTAATATAATTGAATATTCTCAAAAACTAAGAAATCATTATTATATACGTGTTTCAGTTTTAGAACATAAAAGAAACTACTAGATCATATGGAGGCAATAGCCTATTCCTATTATGTGGTGTTTGACAAGTTGGCATTGGAATATGATGCTATTATAATGAACTCTCTTCCATTTACTCATTGAATTTTTTCTGTCTTTTCTACTAAAATTTTAAAGCATATTTTGTCTTGTTTTCGCGGAAGCAAAAGCAACACTAGCTTACATTTTTGAAATATGGCATAACAAAGAATAGAGTTATTAGTTTGTATCATAATTATAAAACACATACCGATAAAAATCCTATCAAAAGTTAACTCAAGGCAAGTTATATGAGTATCTTCGGTTTCAACACTTTTTATATAGTTTTATGATACATCGTTATTTCATTAATTCACATGCCTCTAAACGCATATTCAATTAAAGGAAGACAAAATATGAACATAAGAAATATTTATATAGAAAAACTTGAAGATATATGAGGTGGACAAAACCCAACAAGGACAGCTTTTCACCAAGATGTATGATAAACGTGTTGATTTTTATTTACCTATTGTGATTTTTTTTAAATTTCTGGATAGAAATAATCCTTAATGTCCAAAGTATGGTAATAACGTACAGTTGATTCGATATTCAATGGACTGTTTCCATTATAGCGATCGATTTTCAAGCAAGAAGTTGTCGCCCGACTCGAAACAAAACTACTCAAAAGATACAGTTTGATAAAATTTATGGATCTGTTTAATGGTAGACATAGTGATATTCTATATGAAGCTGAATTTATTTGATGCTCGCTAGTTTGCCTGTTCGTTCCCTTGTTATTTACCTCGTTCTCATTTTGTACGTGACATTACGCACTTGAATATATTATATATTACGAATGTTGATGATGAAGCAGAAAACGCTTACTCTTCTGGAACAACTGGAGTTGTTCTCCTTGTACGTTTTCAAGATTCTGTATAAAGCTTTCTTCTGTTCATTGTTTGCCTTGGTTTTTTTATATTTATTTTATTTTTGCATTTTTTCATTGTATGTACACAAAGAAGTTCACACACACACGCCCTTACATACATACATACATACATACATATGTCCAACATGTATCATCATACACATTATCATCACACACATCATCATTAAACATGTATCATCATACACATCATCATCATACACATCATCATTAAACATGTACCATCATACACATCATCATTAAACATATATTCTCATACACATCATCATCATACACATCATCATTAACATGTATCGTCATACACATCATCATTAAACATGTATTATCATACACATCATCACCATACACATCACAATTAACGTGTATCATCATACATATCATCATCATACAACACATCACCATTAACATGTATCATCATACACATCATCCTCATACACATCATCATTAAACATGTATTGTCATACACATCATCATTAAACATGCATGTATTATTATACACATCATCACCGTACACATCATCATTAAACATGCATGTATTATTATACACATCATCACCATACACATCACCATTAACATGTATCATCATACATATCATGTATGTATTATTATACACATCATCCTCATACACATCATCATTAAACATGTATTATCATACACATCATCATTAAACATGTATTATCATACACATCATCACTTACATGTATTATCATACACATCATCCTAATACACATATATATCATCATTAGCATGCATCATCATACACATCATCACTAACATGCATCATCATCATCATCATCTACGGATTTGTCAAATTGTGAGTGTTCATCATATATCTAATGTACAGCATAAATAATCAACTTTTTTTATATTTATTTTATTTTTTGCATTTTTTCATTGTATGTACACAAAGAAGTTCACACACACACGCCCTTACATACATACATACATACATACATACATACATACATACATACATACATACATACATACATACATACATACATACATACATAAGAAAAAAGGAGAGAAGAGACAGATTATGATAGAAAATGGTTAGATAGAGGAGAGAAAGAAGGCAGATGGCTAGAGAGAGGAAGAGAGAAAGAAAGCAGATAGGGAAGGAAACAGGAAGGAATTCAAGACTTAAATAAAACTATATAAAGCAAATGGTGATTTTAAATAATTTACCAAACTGAAAATTTGTTGGTACAGATGATGGCCATTGTCAGGGACTGGTAACCATATCAGGTTTATTGATTCATATTCAAAATTAAGTATTGAGTATCTTAATTATGTTTGAGTAAAACAATCATATATCGATATAGTAACAGAGTGGTAGTAATATTAGTCGTTCATGATTTTTATAGATTTCTCCCATTTTTTCCACCCTAGTGCAAATTTGTCTTTAACCCTTTCCCCTTTAGTATACGTGATATATTTTTGAACCTTATAATAATCATGGATGGCACAGGTAAGAGCATTAATGCTGAGGGACTTATGTAAACATCTAGTTCTGTAAATATATTGTTTTATGAGTAAAATAATTTGGTTATCAACACTATATATTAGGTTGGTCCCATTATCTATCTTGCCAAAAAGTATTGTTTGTTTGTTAACAGTAAAAGGAATATATAAAGCATCTAGTAATCTATCTAGACTTTGCAAAAGATTCTGGACTTCATCACATTCCCAAAACAGGTGTACAATTGTTTCTGTCTCAGCATTACAGAGAGTACATAAAGGAAATTCTAAACTGTAGCCATTGAAATTTGGAACTTTTAGTGACTTGAAAAGGTAATGTATATATAGCTAGCCAGTCATCATTTGTGAAATCAAAATGTCCCCCCCACTTTTCCCTTCCCTTGGACACAAGTGATTTAATATTGTTAAGTATTCCATAAAATCTCATTGAACCTTTATTGATATCTAAAAAAATAGATATGTGGACTGGTAGAGTAGGACGTATAAATTTATACTCAACAATATTATAATTCCGCAAGCTTTTCCTTATTGCTGAAATTATTGCATAATATTTCAAAAAATCAGTGTTTATGTTAAATTTCTGAATAAATTCCTCATATGAAAACAAAGTGTTATTACTAAAATCCTTAACAAAATCACCAATTAGATAAACACCTTTTTCATACCAGTGTGGGTAGAAGATTGTTTTACCTCCAATGGTAATATTACAATTATACCATACAGGTGTTAGCAAGAGTGATTTCCCTTTGATTGTTTTCATATTTTCTGAATTTTCTAATCTCCCCCAAGCTTTTAATACATCTTTCCAAAACAAATTATCACATATATCTGTACTTATCTGAATAAAAGTGCCTCCAATATCTAAAAGCCTATTAATGTTTACGGATTTTATCAGAATACATTTCCATTTTCCAGAAGACTGATATAACCGTTTGATCCAACTCAATTTCAATGAATCGACAAAATTAGCAACATGCAGCATTTTTAACCCACCAACAGTATAATCCTGAACTATAGTTTCTCTTTTAACTTTATCAACTTTACTGTGCCATAGAAATTCAAATAATATAGAGTTAATTGTCTGCATTGTTTTACCATCTGGATTGGGCAGGGAAATAAATAAATGATTAAACTGTGAAATCATCAAAGATTTAATTAAGTGGATTTTTCCTATGGGAGTTAAATTGCGTCTACTCCAAGTATTTATAAGGCT